AAAAAGTGACATAAAACAGGAACCAAGCAGGATGGAGCATTAAGACTGGAGGTCACCGCACAGGAGGCTGGCTTCAGCTTTATTAGCCGCTAACTGCTAGCCACTATCGGCATTCTAACGCTGCTTACAGCTTGGTAGCCTTTAGCTCACCCTGCCAGCATTGCTTCCTCCTGCTGGGCCTTAAACGCTGCCAGAGCAGGAGGCTGAGGCTGGGAGCTAAACAAGGGAACTCAGAAAAGAGATATAATCAGAGGAGCTAAAAGCAGCTCAGTTCATTTATTCATAACGTCCAGTTCGCTCAGAACAATTCCCAGAATCAGTTCACTGAAATCATCCTGATCCAAAAACATAAAAAAAAAAAATCCACTGGACTTTGTTTCCAAGTCTGAAGACGTTTCGCTTCCCAGTTAGGAAGATTTTTCAATTCAAAATGAGATCAGAAATAGTGTTGAGTTCGAGGGTTAGGCAGAATAGGTGCGGTCCTCGGGTCCCCCCCCTTTGGAATGGGGGTCGTTTGGCTTCTTTATTAGCCTGCAGCGCCCCATACCTGTCTATGTCTCTGAAAGGGGGGTTGTTAAAGGAAATTGTTGGCCTGGCTGAACAGACGAAGGGGAACAGAATACCTCACCTATTCAGCCTAACCTTCGAACTCAACACTATTTCTGACATTTTGAATTGAAAAGGCTTCCGGACTGGGAAGTGAAACGTCTTCAAACTTGGAAACAAAGTCCAGTGGATTGTTTTCGTTTTACTTTTTCGTAATGACTATGACCTGGATGACTGGGAATCTTCACCAGCATATCCTGACGGATTGTAAACAAAGCCCAGCAGTTAGAAAGCATGCTGTAACAGTGACCAGTCGCCCACTTTCCTCTGAAGCTCCTCCATCTGGAGCTTCCTGTCATTTCTGCAGCCCAGATTCTGACTAAACGTCAGAATAAATGCTCTCTCTTCATCTGACACCTGTCTCAGAACCTGAGCTGGTTTAAATGATGCAGACGATGCTCAGAAACTCATCATAGGCTACGTTCACATTGCAGCCTGAAGTGACCCAAATCCGATTTTTTTTTTTGCCCATATGCGACCTGGATCTGA